TTGTTCAATCATGTCAGCTAGTTGGCTATGACACCGACCATTAACGGCGATCAACGTACAAGAAAAACGAGGACGGTAATGAGTTTTCTATTGTGATATTAGCGTTGTTCGCTCAAATATGTTTGACAGATGAATGCTCTCACTGCTACTTACAATATGATAATGTCAAATGAACAATCCTCTCAGTAGGCATTGAAGAGGTATCTTGAGAAGCCGCATCATCACTACAACCACCACCACCACCACCACTACCACCACCACCACCACCATCATCATCATCATCATGATTATCATCATCATCATCATCATCATCATCACTACAACCACCACCAGCAGCAGCAGCAGCCTCAGCAGCTTCACTACAACCACCACCACACCACCATCACCATCACAACCACCACCACCACATCACCACTATTTCCACCACCGCCACCACCACCACTATAACCGCCACTAAACTATCACCATTATAACCACCACTACTATCATCATCACACCATCACAACATCATCACTTTTACCACCATCAACATCAGCAGCATCTTCACTGTCATGGTTATCATCACCACCATAACCACAATTATATTCACTATCACCACCATCGTCGTCATCCTCACCACCATCATCACTACTACGTTATATTATGCATATTCACCCATCCCATCATCATCATCATCATCACCAGAAGCATCAAATTACAACATTAAGTTTTCCTTCCTGTCTCTCCACGACAATCTCATCAGAATTTAGAACCATCCCTTACACAGCTATTACAGTTCTATTATATGAGTAATAGTTAGAGAGTTAAAAGTCTGTCACGCAGACCATGTTACAAATATATCCAATACAGCCCATGCAAGTCTATAATGTTTGGCAAGTCTAGATTACTGCAGTATCTGAAAGTGAAGTCTCTGGGCTCCGTTTTATTACATTTAATGACTATAATTTAACAACTGTTTTTTTCTTCGGTAAATTATGTTCATTTCAGAGACTAGATGTTAGTCTATAGTGGTATTGATGCAGTACCCGGACGTGCATCCTCTCTTGCATATCGTATAATACAAGATGGTGGGTTAAAAGTACGTTAAGCAGGAAAGGAGCGGAGAGCAGAGAGAAGTAGGGGGTTCTAAAAGGCGGGGTAATTCCAATCTACTTTCTATAAACAGACATAGCTGAAAACATCAAAACCATCAGCTGCAAACACAACACGGCAGAATTTTATAAACTTATTTCAGATAAGAGCGTAAATATAGTAACAAGCAAATATCAAACGGTTGCTGGAGTTGGTGAAACATTGAGATAAGTTATCGGTCTTTACGAAATGCATCTAGGCATATATATAAATTTATATAATATGTTTATGGCATTTCTGATGTCTATCTATATCTCAGCCAGGGCTACCTCCACCGTTCAACTAAAGTACATAGGAAGCTCAAGGTCTAACCAAACACCTATGGCGTCGTTTCATGATTGTGAATAACATAAAGTAATTTTGATTGCCTCAGATTTATAATAATACTTTGATCAAGGGAACTTGACCCTTATAGCAAAAGGCAGAGCCATCTCAATGACTGTACGGGTGCTCGGCCACTTCCGGGTGCTTATCAAAGAGTGTTTGGACAACAGCAGAAATATTTAGAGGACAAAAACTCAGGGTTTGAAGCATGATTTCCACGAAGAATATAGACTGACATCATAAAAAAATATTTTCAAAGTTTCACAACATACTTAGCTCGCGATTATCGACATATCACCATTGGCAGTACTGAGAAGAAACTGTATTATAGACAGTAGTACAACACAAGCCAAGAAACGACACAACCCAACTGCTGGATAAGTGCAATTTTTGTCAATAATGAAACTACTAGAATTGCCCCTTGTGGAAAACATTTCCGTCTTAACGCACACGAACCGCGCCCTTCTTTTCCGTGTTTTACTCTGGATGTCACCGAGTAACCTGGCGCTTATAGGAAGCATGGGACAATCTCGTGCTTCCCTAGCGTGTCCCCCAGATATTAACCCACAGTCCTGGTTGTTTGGCTCTACACGTGTAAACATATTGGCTGAGTTCATTAAATGTCTCTCCCCAGGACTTTGTCGACATCAATGAAAATTTGATTTTTTTAATTGAACTGGACCCTAGTCAAGTTTGTGTCATTTCAAACATATCTTATTGACATTATATAAAGATCAAATTGATCAGGCAAAAGTTATCCAACTTATAACGCCCTTTCCATAAACATTTTTACAGACAATAACACTACGGATTTGGCCCTTTTCGCTTTCAAACAGCTCTATACCTTAGTCATAAAACTCGTCCCCAAAGAGTCGGGATCTAATCACCTATTACACTTGAAACTACTTCGTTTACTCGTTAACAACACATCTTCACTGCCGATTAACGCAAGTGTTCAGAATGCACTTTAGCCCTCTGGGTCGGTAGAAATACGCACGCATGTCATGTATGTGTAAGCCTTCCCAAAACAAGGTGAGATTTCCCTGAACCCACTTCCGTTATTGTTAAATCGAAGTGTCATGTCCCCTGGTGCAATCGATTGTACACATGACCCTGTGAATGAGGAATGCCCCGGGGGGCAAGAGGCAACACCATCGATCAAAGCATGAGACGATTTCTATCCAGTGTTTGATAACCTTTCTCGACACTTACAGCTTACTTCCAAATCAGGTGTCACACCAGAGACTAGGTGCATGAACAACTAGCCACGCCATCGGGATACAATGATGTGGAGGAATCAGACAAGTCACTGAGCCAGGTCATCAGATACCCATTTTCAGTCTGACGCTGAATCCCCACAAGATCCCCATCAAAAGAACAATGGGATGCACAAACATGACCTTTTACATACTGACATTAGGCTAACGCGTAGTCACTGTAACTATCCAATATTGATTGGAACAAGCAACTATATTTATATTTGAAATGAGCCCCAATGAGATGGAAGATTCAGAACCTGGGGTAAATCTAGACTTGTTATGTAGGGCTATAGCATTACCGTAAGTGTTGGGGAAAGGGAAAATGATATGGTTCAGGGTCTGTGAGAACGCCCAATATTGACATCAAAGTGTTCCTCTCTTTGTGGATGGGTTCTTACAGGCGTTGACACTAGGACTGAATTTGTCCCATTTGAATTCTGAATACATCGTTGTACGGCACATATCCGATAATTTTTTTATAGTACATCTAGGTCGTCGCGCTTCAGCGACACACAATTAAACCGCTACCTAGTCAGTGTGCACAGTCGAGTCACATCCAGTGGTAGCTGTTTGTTTATTGTTTAACGCCACACTGAGCAATATTCCAGCTATATGACGACGGCTTGTAAATAATCGAGCATGGACCAGACAATCAAGTGATTGACATCACGAGTATCAATCTACACGATGGGGATACGATGAGATGCATCAACCAAGTCAGCGAGCCTGATCACCCGATCCCGTTAGTCGCCTTTTACAAGAAGCATGGGTGGCTGAAGATCATTTCTACTCCGGACATGTCTTCAGTATCAAATGAGGGCCCACTTGCCCAGTCGTCTAAAGCGATGCAATTCAATGTACAGAGTTGCGTCCTTTGGACACGCATAAACCTTTGATTGTGGGTTTGAATCTCGGATCTCCCCGAGTTTGTTTCTTGTGTCTGTCAGTACCAGACTCGTGGGTTTTAACCAAACTTGTAAAAGTCCGAAACGTGCATAGCTTTTCTCCCACATAAAGCTGACACGCCGTGATATAACTAGAATGCTGTTCAAAGCGGCGTTAACACCAACACTCACTCACTATAGAATAATTTTTTTCCGAATAAACTCCTCATTGTCAATGCTGTAAACATGTGATCTTTGGTAGTCCGTGGGGCGACATTGGTGACTGTGACATTCAAACACTTTTCACTCACTCATCTCGGTGCTCGAGATTTATAATGACCTTTAACTGACATGTTCGAATATCGCGACCAACAACTAATCTTGAACTATGTCAGTCTTTGAAAGCCCATATGTCCCCTTGCCATGTGTAAAAGTAAAAGCTATGTCCGTTTTACGATTCCAACTATTTCATGCGCATGTGTTTATGAAGCACTATTAAATAGTAATGATACCAGGTGTTCGCGAAAAGGTGAGCGTATCCTGCCCCACAGGTGGCACCCGTCTCCGATACATTGCTTAGAAGATAACACAGAATGAAACTGCTTTTAGAAATGTGCGTTTACTTGAACACGAAGGCGTCAACTTCCAGCGTCACACTTCCCCCTCCAGCCTTCCCCCTCCACCGGCCCTCCCTCCTCCATTTCCAGCGAAACCTCCACCCCCAACCCCCTTCCCCACGAAGCGCCTCTGCGATTTGCTTTCATCACCGACCTTTATGACCTAAATAAGCCCAGCGTTCAGACGGTTGAAGGAATCTGGAAACTAAACATTATACACCGGGCCATCCCAGGCACGGTACACCAGCCTGGCCCAGAATTCAACAAAAAGACCGTTAAACTGCCATTTCATTGGTTGAGCTTTATCAAATAAAAACCAGAAGTTAGGCGTTACCAAGGAATATCCAATTTCTCCGCATAGTGAGAAGCTGCTCTTTAAAACGTGTAGACATGTAAGCTATTGTTGAACCAATTCCCAGGGAGTATTCAGCACGCTTCCTCAGTGTAACAAAAGCCAATTACCAGGAACGCTAAATCCGTCACAATGATGAATTAGGATGTTGAAGGATGCTACAAACAACTGTGCTATATCAGAATACAGAGCCAAATCCGCTTTAATAGTTTCTGTATACGTTTCTGTATTTCGAAAGATAAAACTCCTGAACTATCATATTTAACTGTTAATCGGTCTTATAATGACTATGAAGTACTCCTATTTACGGTATTAATAACGTTGGTACGGGTATGTAACTTTGTCAGGAACTTCATGATGTCCATAGATTCCCTAAGGAAATACATGCAACAAGTTTCAAAGTTGTGATTGCGGGAGTTGATGCCAGACTTACCTAGGACTACAGCAATGGTGAAGAGTGCTGGAACTTTCATCGTGCCGTCTCGTATAAATCCGTACCTCGAAGGAAAGACACAGGTACTCCTCCAGAGAATGGTAGACCTCGCCGCTAGTTGCTGGTGGGACTTGAGCAGAAGACCTCAACTACCCAAATTCCTTGTACCTCCTCCTGATTCAGCCAATGAATGACTGGCGATCAGCCCCCTGCGTTGTTGATTGACAGCTAGAGGGAGAAGCCCTTTGAATGTGTTTCCGTCCGCTGTATAATATCACTGGCAGAAACTGAGCACAAAGTGACTATGAAGTGACGAGGTACCACTGATGTAGACTGCCAAGCCGCAGCAGCCAATCATAAAATGCACGAGATCCTTTAACTGTGAATGAAGAACTGTTGCTGTACTTGTTTCACTGGGAGTTGGACCCTGCAGTAGTAGAACGCCGATACGGGCGCTCCAGGAACAGCTGGCCAGCAGACAGGCGGGGTCCGCCGCTCACGTTGTTGCCATCCTGAAACGTCACTGTTGTGGTACTGTGATCTGGCGTGGGGTGGTAGTCGTTGGGTGGAGGATGGGGACGATGTCACAGCGTCAGAGGGCGGGACACGACTTCTGACGACGACCACAACCCTCCATCTACCACGCGCCTCGCGATGTAAAGACAAGTACAGCAACTCGTCGGTGGTATTGATTTTCCATGGAGCGTTCATTTATTACTCTCATTTTGCGTGTTAGCATCTTTTGACCGATTCTAGGACTGATTGTAGGATAAACCGGCTAGCTATTAGGGGATAACATTCGTTGGCCGGTCGCGGCTATTAGAGGCACTGGCCATTTCGCATCCAACAATATTTCAAAGAAACATATAATAAATCTTAACACAGGGGCCACGTGTTTGTCGCCTAAATGTGCACTCCCCGTAGAAGTGTGAGGTTTCCTTTTACGGCAGGGTCCTTCACAATGGGCCGGGGCTGCAGCTAATCTACTTTGGATTTAATCTAGCGCAGACCATAAATCTTGCACATGTATGCGCACTTCTGTATTGGCGTTAAACGTGTATTAAAGTGTGGGCCTGATTGTCCGTCTTGTAATCTTTGATTTAAGCACAAGTAAGATAACTTACCCCCTGTATCTCCTGGTTGGCATGTCAGGGTATGCGTCTGGTCAGGGTGCCAATATTACATATTGTCGATGATACTTAGTTCATCTATTTTCCTAAAATATTAAAGTACAGTAAACTACGGTTATAACGAACTCAAAGGGACTACTATTTTTAGTTCGTTATAACCGTAGTTCGTTATAAGCATATACACAGCATAACTACATCAAATAGTCGGGACTTAAAAGTTAGTTCATTATATCCGTCAGTTCGTTATAAGCGTGACCGTTATAACCGAAGTTTACTGTATTACTATTTACGTGACGGGTCCACCTGCATTTTCATGCAAACTAATTCCTACGAAGATAAACGTAGAACGTGATGGTAACTTTTATTACTTTACAAACGGAATCTCACTGATAACGGATGCACAGAAAAGTACATTTTAGAGTTGACTTTCACTTAGTGTGAGTTCACAGAGTGAGGGCCAAACTGAATGAACGTCGGAGCTCATAGTATGTGAAGGTTCATACTTCGATGAACTTACAAAAAGTGAACATTTTTATGATTTTTTATAAAGTGTAATCACTGCAGGCATGGTTTACCTTGAATATGTCCACTTCACACATCTTCACTCACTTCACTACATACTTTACCTTCAATCTCTCGACTTCAAATTGCTTCACTCACTTGACAACAGACATAACTTCCCTTCAATCTCTCGACTTCACATAGCTTCACTCACTTGACAACAGACATGACTTCACTTCAATCTCTCGACTTCAAATTGCTTCACTCACTTGACAACAGACATAACTTCCCTTCAATATGTCGACTTCACATAGCTTCACTCACTTTACAACAGACATGACTTCCCTTCAATCTCTCGACTTCAAATTGCTTCACTCACTTGACAACAGACATAACTTCCCTTCAATATGTCGACTTCACATAACTTCACTCACTTGACAACAGACATGACTTCCCTTCAATCTCTCGACTTCAAATTGCTTCACTCACTTGACAACAGACATAACTTCCCTTCAATATGTCGACTTCACATAACTTCACTCACTTGACAACAGACATGACTTCCCTTCAATCTCTCGACTTCAAATTGCTTCACTCACTTGACAACAGACATAACTTCCCTTCAATATGTCGACTTCACATAGCTTCACTCACTTGACAACAGACATGACATCCCTTCAATCTCTCGACTTCACATAGCTTCACTCATTTGATAACAGACATGACTTCCCTTCAATATGTCGACTTCACATAGCTTCACTCACTTTACAACAGACATGACTTCCCTTCAATATGTCGACTTCAATTTGCTTCACTCACTTGACAACAGACATGACTTCCCTTCAATATCTCGACTTCACATAGCTTCACTCACTTAACAACAGACATGACTTCACTTCAATATCTCGACTTCAAATTGCTTCACTCACTTGACAACAGACATGACTTACCTTCAATCTCTCGACTTCACATAGCTTCACTCACTTTACAACAGACATGACTTCCCTTCAATATGTCGACTTCACATAGCTTCACTCATTTGATAACAGACATGACTTCCCTTCAATATGTCGACTTCACATAGCTTCACTCATTTGATAACAGACATGACTTCCCTTCAATATGTCGACTTCACATAGCTTCACTCACTTGACAACAGACATGTCTTCACTTCAATCTCTCGACTTCAAATTGCTTCACTCACTTGACAACAGACATAACTTCCCTTCAATATGTCGACTTCACATAACTTCACTCACTTTACAACAGACATGACTTCCCTTCAATATGTCGACTTCAATTTGCTTCACTCACTTGACAACAGACATGACTTCCCTTCAATATCTCGACTTCACATAGCTTCACTCACTTAACAACAGACATGACTTCACTTCAATATCTCGACTTCAAATTGCTTCACTCACTTGACAACAGACATGACTTACCTTCAATCTCTCGACTTCACATAGCTTCACTCACTTGACAACAGACATGACTTCCCTTCAATATGTCGACTTCACATAGCTTCACTCATTTGATAACAGACATAACTTCCCTTCAATATGTCGACTTCACATAGCTTCACTCACTTGACAACAGACATGACTTCCCTTCAATATGCCGACTTCACATAACTTCACTCACTTGACAACAGACATGACTTCCCTTCAAACTCGACTTCACATAGCTTCACTCACTTGACAACAGACATGACTTACCTTCAATCTCTCGACTTCACATAGCTTCACTCACTTGACAACAGACATGACTTCCCTTCAATATGTCGACTTCACATGTGCGTATTCGTATGAGCATCAAACCGATTTTACGAAATCAGTTTTCTGATGCAGGTGTCGTCTCGTACACTCACTGTGACGCAAACACAGGTACCCGTAGAGACCCGGGTTGGAATAGGTCTTCAGAATACTATGCTTGTCGTAAGAAGCAGCTAACGGGGTCGGGTGGTCAGGCTCGCTGACTTGGTTGATGCATGTCATCGTAAATGTGTAGATGGATGCTTATTGTGTCAATCAGTGGATTGTCTGGTCCCGATTCGATTATTTACAGAGCGCCGTCATAGAGCTGGAATATTGCTGAGTTCGGCGTTAAACGACAAACAAAGAAAGGAAAGACACTGGTGATAATAATCTTTTTTTATTCCTATCGTTTTATCGTTTTTGTTCTGTTTATTCATCATGGGGCAGGGCATTAATCCATTCTACTTCTTGAGTGTGAGAGAATTCCAATGTACAATATACAGTGAGTAAGTGAGTGAGTTGGGTTTAACGCCGCTTTTAAGAGTATTCCAGTTATATCACGGCGTGTCAGCTTAATGTGGGACGAAAGCCCGAAGTGATGCAGGTCTCAGAAGTTTACCACTTCGGTGAAACCCACGAGCACGGGTATGGTGCTAACAAACCTAGAAACATAATTGGGGCGAACCGGGATTCGAACCCACAATAATAGGTTACTGGCGTGCCCAAGGGACGCAACTCTGCACAGCGAATCGCGGCGCATTAGACGAATGGGCCACCCGTGCCCCCGTCGCAACTGTAATGCTTTAAAAGAAAGGTAGCAAAGTGGGAAGACTAGTGGATACATCGGTTAAGGCCGTAGTAAGTGAGTATTGTTTTACGCCACTTTTAGCAATATTCCAGCAACATCACGGCGAGGGACACCAGAAATGGGCTTCACACGTTGTACCCATGCGGGGAATCGAGCCCAGGTCTTCGGCGTGACGAGCGAACGCTTTAACCACTAGCTATCTCATCGCCAGTTAAAGCCATAAATATGTTAAACTTATGTAATGTAGGTTATAGAACCATATTTTTTCCATGACGAGCTCAATCTGCCATGTTGTTTATGTAAATCATAATTAGCACAATGCACTGATCATCAACATTTTATTTATATATGTATTTTTTTAAACATCTATTCACCCTAACATTTTTATATATGTATTATAGAGTCGTAATGTGTTTTTAATTATATCTTTGAAATGTTGATAATAAGAAATAATTTTGTTTATTTGCTTGATGGTGCTAAAATTTAAACTCAGACAGGAACATGCATATTGCGGAATGGGTAGAAAATTGTTTCGTATCTCCCAGTTAATTGGCAGTGTGAAAACGCACAATGAGCCTTTTTGTAACAAATACGATTTCAGTGAACATTCATGCATGGAAACACTATACATCTGTCCACAATGTCTGACTTGATATTGCAGGAGAGCTGCATACTGAGCACAAATAACATGAAAAGCTGTTACTTTCCTTTCTTACACATTTATATACCGCAGGTATCCAGGTGCTCGTTTCCGCTCAAATGCGGTTATAATTGTTCCCCGACCAGTGGATCCGTTTGCATTCCAGTTATCATTCTCAACTCCCTGGGGAGTATACAACCCAAGCTGCTCAGAGGCGCTAGAAGGTTTTACATCCACCTCACATATCGGGTACCCATTCCCTGCTGGGTGAACAGAGGCACATTAGAAATAAGTCACTTGCCCAGGGTGACACCACACGTGTTTACGCTTGTGTTTTGGGTGTATGTACGTATTCGTGTTTCCACCATCTAGTCATCTACCATCGGACGAGTGGGTTCTTTTGAGAGCACAGGGTGAATATACTGTACACTGGGGGTAGTGACAACACTGTAAACACCTGTAAACATTGTTGGTCCCAAGGCTGAATAACAACCCGGTCACTAGCGGGATACGATCTCAGCACCTGGCGCTTGCTAGCCTGGCGCTTTTGACCGCTTGCCCACTCCGCCCCGAATTCCAAAATAGGAAGCAACAGCAACAGCAGATTAACGGGAGGAAACACTCGATTCTTCTAAAGTCGTGGGTGGGGGAGTGGTGTTTGACGCCGCTTTTAATACTATTACAGTTATATCACGAGTCAGCTTAATGTGGGAGGAAAGCCTAAAGTGATGCAGGTCTCAGAAACCAATGAGTGAGGGTATGATGCTGACAAACCTAGAAACATAATTGGGGCGAACCGGGATTCGAACCCACAATCACAGGTTTCTGGCGTGCACAAGGGACGCAACTCTGCACGGTGAATCGCGGAGCCTCAGACGACCGGGCCACCCGTGCACCTTTTATAATGGAGAACTTCATCAGGTAAGATGTGCATGTTTTGACCATACAGGGTACATATTGTCCGTTATAATTCGCGAACGATTAAGCAAATTGGTAGCCTTCTCAATAAAACCAAATCTGTCATACGTATGACAGGAAGTGGCATGCTGGGACATTTGCATAATTTTTACAGAGTAATATATTTTTTACAGAGTTATATATTTCCCACCTGTTCCAAGCAGTTAAAACACTAGTTAAAATATGCGAACATTTGTGTCGAAATGGCGGACGACATAAAGTTAATCAGAATTTTGATCGGACATCATTTCTGGAATATGTGCTATCCCCCCAAAATGATATGAATTCAGCACATGTGCGTCTCATCTAAAGGCACTGTGTCGACATTTGATCAACAGCCAGTAGTACCTTTGGCTCTGGCGGGTTTCGGAGAAGGAGGGGTTGGGGGGGGGGGGGGGGGGGGGGGGGGGCATGTGGCAGTGGTAGGGAGAGGACTTGTGGCAGTAGTAAGAGAGGACTAGTGGCAGGGTTAGGGAGAGGACTTATGGCAGTTGGCAGTGGTAGGGACAGGGGACAGGGCTTGTGGCAGTGGTAGGGACAGGGCTTGTGGCAGTGGTACGGAGAGGGCTTGTGGCAGTGGTAGGGAGAGGACTTGTGGCAGTGGTAGGGAGAGGGCTTGTGGCAGTGGTAGGGAGAGGGCTTGTGGCAGTAGTAAGAGAGGACTAGTGGCAGGGTTAGGGAGAGGACTTATGGCAGTTGGCAGTGGTAGGGACAGGGGACAGGGCTTGTGGCAGTGGTACGGAGAGGGTTTGTGGCAGTGGTAGGGAGAGGGCTTGTGGCAGTGGTAGGGAGAGGGCTTGTGGCAGTGGTACGGAGAGGGCTTGTGGCAGTGGTAGGGAGAGGGCTTGTGGCAGTGGTAGGGACAGGGCTTGTGGCAGTGGTAGGGAGAGGGCTTGTGGCAGTGGTACGGAGAGGGCTTGTGGCAGTGGTACGGAGAGGGCTTGTGGCAGTGGTAGGGAGAGGGTTTGTGGCAGTGGTACGGAGAGGGCTTGTGGCAGTGGTAGGGAGAGGGCTTGTGGCAGTGGTAGGGAGAGGGTTTGTGGCAGTGGTAGGGAGAGGGCTTGTGACAGTGGTAGGGAGAGGGCTTGTGGCAGTGGTACGGAGAGGGCTTGTGGCAGTGGTAGGGAGAGGGCTTGTGGCAGTGGTAGGGACAGGGCTTGTGGCAGTGGTACGGAGAGGGCTTGTGGCAGTGGTAGGGAGAGGACTTGTGGCAGTGGTAGGGAGAGGGCTTGTGGCAGTGGTAGGGACAGGGCTTGTGGCAGTGGTACGGAGAGGGTTTGTGGCAGTGGTAGGGAGAGGGCTTGTGGCAGTGGTAGGGAGAGGGCTTGTGGCAGTGGTACGGAGAGGGCTTGTGGCAGTGGTAGGGAGAGGGCTTGTGGCAGTGGTAGGGACAGGGCTTGTGGCAGTGGTAGGGAGAGGGCTTGTGGCAGTGGTACGGAGAGGGCTTGTGGCAGTGGTACGGAGAGGGCTTGTGGCAGTGGTACGGAGAGGGCTTGTGGCAGTGGTAGGGAGAGGGCTTGTGGCAGTGGTAGGGACAGGGCTTGTGGCAGTGGTACGGAGAGGGCTTGTGGCAGTGGTAGGGAGAGGACTTGTGGCAGTGGTAGGGAGAGGGCTTGTGGCAGTGGTAGGGACAGGGCTTGTGGCAGTGGTAGGGAGAGGGCTTGTGGCAGTGGTAGGGACAGGGCTTGTGGCAGTGGTACGGAGAGGGCTTGTGGCAGTGGTAGGGAGAGGACTTGTGGCAGTGGTAGGGAGAGGGCTTGTGGCAGTGGTAGGGACAGGGCTTGTGGCAGTGGTAGGGAGAGGGCTTTTGGCAGTGGTACGGAGAGGGCTTGTGGCAGTGGTACGGAGAGGGCTTGTGGCAGTGGTAGGGAGAGGGTTTGTGGCAGTGGTACGGAGAGGGCTTGTGGCAGTGGTAGGGAGAGGGCTTGTGGCAGTGGTAGGGAGAGGGCTTGTGGCAGTGGTAGGGAGAGGGCTTGTGACAGTGGTAGGGAGAGGGCTTGTGGCAGTGGTACGGAGAGGGCTTGTGGCAGTGGTAGGGAGAGGGCTTGTGGCAGTGGTAGGGACAGGGCTTGTGGCAGTGGTACGGAGAGGGCTTGTGGCAGTGGTAGGGAGAGGACTTGTGGCAGTGGTAGGGAGAGGGCTTGTGGCAGTGGTAGGGACAGGGCTTGTGGCAGTGGTACGGAGAGGGCTTGTGGCAGTGGTACGGAGAGGGCTTGTGGCAGTGGTACGGAGAGGGCTTGTGGCAGTGGTAGGGAGAGGGCTTGTGGCAGTGGTAGGGAGAGGGCTTGTGGCAGTGGTAGGGAGCGGGCTTGTGGCAGTGGTAGGGAGAGGGCTTGTGGCAGTGGTAGGGAGAGGGCTTGTGGCAGTTGTAGGGAGAGGGCTTGTGGCAGTGGTAGGGAGAGGGCTTGTGGCAGTGGTAGGGAGAGGGCTTGTGGCAGTGGTAGGGAGAGGGCTTGTGGCAGTGGTAGGAAGAGGGCTTGTGGCAGTGGTACGGAGAGGGCTTGTGGCAGTGGTAGGAAGAGGGCTTGTGGCAGTGGTAGGAAGAGGGCTTGTGGCAGTGGTAGGGAGAGGGCTGGTACAGGTATGCAGGAGGGCTTGTGGCAGTGGTACGGAGAGGGCTGGTACAGGCATGGGAGAGGGCTTGTGGCAGTGGTACGGAGAGGGCTGGTACAGGCATGGGAGAGGGCTTGTGGCAGGGGTGGGGACAGGGCTTGTGGCAGGGGTCGTTGGGAAAGGGCTTGTGGCATTGATGGAAGAGATCTTGTGAGAGTGGTAGAGAGAGGACTGGTACAGGTATGCAGGAGGGCTTGTGGCAGGGGTGGGGACAGGGCTTGTGGCAGGGGTGGGGACAGGGCTTGTGGCAGGGGTGGGGACAGGGCTTGTGGCAGGGGTGAGGAGAGGGCTTGAGGCAGAGATGGGAGAGGGCTGTTGCATGGCCGTGACAATAGCTATATTCCTGTTACAAACGCTTTAAATATTTCCGGAATGAGAAAGTAGCCACTTGTCTCGGACAATGAAATAATAGAAACACTGCGTGACCTACTCGTCAACACAAAGATGTCTGTTGTGGAATCACTTTCGCCTCCTCCAACACAATAACTCGAGTGTTTGATTATCGGTGTTAGCGAATGTCTGGATGGAGAGACTGAGTGGAGATGCGGATGTTGTGGATGGAGTTTGCCGGTCGTACAGTGTAAATGTCGGGAACCACAAGCTGCCTGCTACGTTATGTCCTATAGTCAGTAATATTCATATGCGTTATTCACAATTCAGTTGACTTGCACATGTGTCACCAACCCCTGACATCTATGTCACTATGAACAGGTGAGTCATCTCACCCACACTGAGCACTGTCAAACAGATCCTTCACTCTCGGTACCATGTTCGGTAAAAACATGTTGGTTTGGTTGGTTGGTTTGTTGTTTAACTCCGCACTCAGCAATATGCCAGCAAAATAACGGCAGTTTGTTAATAATCGTGTCTTGACCAGAAAATCGGTGATTAATATCTTGAGCATCGGTCCACACAAATGGATTCGGTGACATGCATCAACTAAGTCAGCGAGCCTGACCACCCTATCCCGTTAGTCGCCTCTTACGACAAGCATAGTCGCCTTTTACGGCAAGCCTGGGGGGTAACACCATGTCCTGGTGGTCATCAATGCCCAGCAAGTCATGTACACCCGCTCGCCTACTGCATGTTATTAGACCCAAAGAACTTGATAACATTTTCTAAGCAAAACACCAAAACAAATATATTGTAGAAAAAATGGAAGTGAATTATCAATACTCGTACGAAAACCCATCCCGTTTGAAGAACCTTTCAGCTCATATTCTCACAGCAAATTAACCAATGTTAAGCAATTGTATTGATTCGGATCCATTCTCGACTTGTTTGATGTTTAACGCCGCACTCAGCAATATTCCAGCTATATGACAGCGGTCTGTAAATAATTTAGTCTGTACCAGACATTCCAGTGATTTACATCATGAGCACGGCCCGCGCAATTCGGATACGATGACATGCATCAACCAAGTCAACGAGCCTGACCACCCGATCCCGTTAGTCGCCTCTTACGACAAGCACGGGTTGCTGAACACCTGTTCTAACCCGGAATCTTCACGGTGTCTCGACAGCGTGGTTCCACATTAGACACATGGTGTGCAATAAACAGATCAACCACTGCTCTTTGGGATAAAGTTCCACTCCATACCAGAACTACCGCCTCCATGGTGTAGTGGTAGAACGTCCGCTCGGAGAGCGGAAGGCCCAGGGTTCGATCCCCGGCCGCGTCATACGTTAAAAGATTGTACTTGTTGTTACCCTGTCTGGCGCTCGGCATTAAGGGGCTAAAACAAGGACTGTTCGGCTCGGAGTCAGTATCCTGTGTCTGAGTGGGGTATTCATGTTAAACTGCGGCATGGTATCTCAGTGAGCTAGCACTTTATATCGGCATCAGTCCGGACAAGTACAAGCAGCCACACACACACACGTGAATGCACGTCGCTATATAAGTGCAATAATCTTGGACGCGACTATAAACACAATTTCCCTGGGATAACAGGGTAAGACTATCTACCAACATTTAAGGATAACATCCTTCATTGTATTAGATACTAACTTGGATAACAACTTTCACTGTACACCTACAATATGGATGACAGCGGAAGCAACTGTCACTGTGTACCTACAATTTGGACAAATGCCTTCACTTGATATCTACACTGTCGATTAAAACGTTTCACTGTATGTCAACTTGAATAACAACTTTCACTGTATCTCAACTTGGATAACAACTTTCACTGTAGCTCAACTTGGATAGCAACTTTCATTTTAATTCAACTTGGATAACAACTTTCACTGTATCTCAGCTTGGAAGACAAGTTTCAGTGTATTTCAACTTGGATAACATCTTTCGCTGTATTTCAACTTGGATAACAACTCTCACTGTATCTCAACTTGGATAACAACTTTCACTGCATTTTAACTTGGATAACAACTTTCACTGTATCTCAACTTGGATAACAACTTTCACTGTATCTCAACTTGGATAACAACTATCACTGTATTTCAACTTGGATAACATCTTTCACTGTTTTTCAACTTGGATAACAACTTTCACTGTATTTCATCTTGGAAAACAACTTTCACTGTAGCTCAATTTGGATAACAAGTTTCACTGTATTTCAACTTGGATAACAATTTTCACTGTATTTCAACTTGGATAACAACTTTCACTGTATTTCAACTTGGATAACATCTTTCACTGTATTTCAACTTGGATAACAACTTTCACTGTATCTCAACTTGGATAACAACTTTCACTGTATCTCAACTTGAATAACATCTTTCACTGTAGCTCAGTTTGGATAACGAGTTTCACTGTATTTTAACTTGGATAACAAGTTTCACCGAAATTCAACTTGGATAACAAGTTTCACTTTATTTCAACTTGGATGACAACTTTCACTGTATTTCAACTTGGATAACAACTTTCACTGTATCTCAACTTGGATAACAACTTTCACTGTATTTCACCTTGGATAACAACTTCCACTGTATTTGAACTTGAATAACTTTCACTGTAGCTCAGTTTGGATACCGAGTTTCACTGTATTTCAACTTGGATAACAAGTTTCACCGAAATTCAATCTGGATAACACATTTCACTTTATTTCAACTTGGATAACAACTTTCACTGTATTTCAACTTGGATAACAACTTTCACTGTATTTCAACTTGGATAACAACTTTCACTGTATTTCAACTTGGATAACAACTTTCACTGTATTTCAACTTGGATAATAAGTTTCACTATACCTCAACTTGGATAACAAGTTTCACTGTACCTCAACTTGGATAACAAGTTTCACTATACCTCAACTTGGATAACAAGTTTCACTATACCTCAACTTGGATAACCAGTATCACTATACCTCAACTTGGATAACCAGTTTCACTATACCTCAACTTGGATAACAAGTTTCACTGTACCTCAACTTGGATAACAAGTTTCACTATTCCTCAACTTGGATAACAAGTTTCACTAAACCTCAACTTGGATAACAAGTTTCACAGTATACCTACAATTTGGACAACTGCCTCTACTTTATATCTTCACTTTCGGATAACAACCTTAATTACCTACATTTGAAATTGGTGTAAAGGTGTTCACGTTTTACCTACACTTTGCAATAACCGAGTTCATTCAATGCATTATTTGTTCACATAACTGCGTTCAGCGTAAACTTACTCTCTCATGACAACAACCCACTGTATACACATACAGTTTGACATGCCAGCGTTCAGTGTGAACTTACTCTCTCATGACAACAACCGTCTGTATACACATACAGTTTGACATAACTGCGTTCAGTGTGAACTTACTCTCTCATGACAACAACCGTCTGTATACACATACAGTTTGACATAACTGCGTTCAGTGTGAACTTACTCTCTCATGACAACAACCCACTGTATACACATACAGTTTGACATGACTGCGTTCAGTGTAAACTTACTCTCTCATGACAACAACCCACTGTATACACATACAGTTTGACATGACTGCGTTCAGTGTGAACTTACTCTCTCATCACAACAACCCACTGTATACACATACAGTTTGACATGACTGCGTTCAGTGTGAACTTACTCTCTCATCACAACAACCCACTGTATACACATACAGTTTGACATGACTGCGTTCAGTGTGAACTTACTCTCTCATCACAACAACCCACTGTATACACATACAGTTTGACATAACTGCGTTCAGTGTGAACTTACTCTCTCATGACAACAACCCACTGTATACACATACAGTTTGACATGACTGCGTTCAGTGTGAACTTACTCTCTCATGACAACAACCCACTGTATACACATACAGTTTGACATAACTGCGTTCAGTGTGAACTTACTCTCTCATGACAACAACCCACTGTATACACATACAGTTTGACATAACTGCGTTCAGTGTGAACTTACTCTCTCATGACAACAACCCACTGTATACACATACAGTTTGACATGACTGCGTTCAGTGTGAACTTACTCTCTCATGACAACAACCCACTGTATACACATACAGTTTGACATAACTGCGTTCAGTGTGAACTTACTCTCTCATGACAACAACCCACTGTATACACATACAGTTTGACATGACTGCGTTCAGTGTGAACTTACTCTCTCATGACAACAACCCACTGTATACACATACAGTTTGACATAACTGCGTTCAGTGTGAACTTACTCTCTCATGACAACAACCCACTGTATACACATACAGTTTGACATAACTGCGTTCAGTGTGAACTTACTCTCTCATGACAACAACCCACTGTATACACATACAGTTTGACATGACTGCGTTCAGTGTGAACTTACTCTCTCATGACAACAACCCACTGTATACACATACAGTTTGACATAACTGCGTTCAGTGTGAACTTACTCTCTCATGACAACAACCCACTGTATACACATACAGTTTGACATAACTGCGTTCAGTGTGAACTTACTCTCTCATGACAACAACCCACTGTATACACATACAGTTTGACATGACAGCGTTCAGTGTGAACTTACTCTCTCATGACAACAACCCACTGTATACACATACAGTTTGACATGACAGCGTTCAGTGTGAACTTACTCTCTCATGACAACAAC